TAGCGCCTCATGACCTGGCTGGGAGCGCTCCGAGCCGTGTCATTGGTGCCCACATGAATAAGGAGCATGGGATAGTGGTCTGTGGGTTGGAGGCGCTTTGGAATCCTCTCCGCAATGTCCCGGCTGAAGGCCCCTGGGAAGCAGCAGACTTCCCGGGCTAAGGGGTCAGGGCGGCAGATTGCCCCCTCAGGAGGGAGTCTCCCACAACAAACACCTTACCACCCCCTTCTGCCTGGAGTAAGCCGCTCTTTCATCCCCTCTCCCCCGCCCCATCGGAGCAAGTGGTAGCAGGGCAGAGCCCTTGCTCCCAGTGCTGCTGTGCTCGCATCCCATGCCCACTCCTGCACCCCTCCCCACGTAACGTGCTCCCCTGCCCTGGCTGGGCAGTTTGTCCCAGCCCCAGCCCCAATCCCCCCTCCCCCAACCCCAGAAAACTTAACAGCTGAAGTCAGCTGTCTGTTTTTAGCCTATGGCTGAATCTCCAAAGCGGCTAAATCTTTTCCAAAGCTTTTCCAAATTGATTTGCATGCTTCAAATCGATTTGGAGCTTTTAATTAGTCTCCCAATTCAATTTGGATTCCGATTTTCAGTCCCTGAATAGGGCCAAATCTCCTCCAAATCGAATCTGCTACCAAAGCTTTGCACAGCCCTAACAGATATTACTCATTTTAATGAATAAGAAGATGAACAGGAGAATACATAATAACTGGTATATCTATTTTCCAGTCTATCCTTAAAACTAGCTTTAAACAAGCTAGCCCATGCACCAGAAGCAATTTAACTGTGTCAGCAAGAAGCTCAATGTAGTCTAATTTATCCTGCTTCTTGTTAAAAGATAGAGCAGTTATCTACGCCACGATGAAATGTGCAACATAGACATAATTTAAATTTAGGAAAAAACAGATTTATGGTTACCCATAGAGCCTTAACTCTTCTACTGTGTCCCAATTATGCTGTGTCCCAACTATACTGTATCCCAACTTAACTCTGTCCCAACTATGCACTGAATTAGGTCCGAGTCTGGTACCAACGACAGCACATAATCATGCCTCTTCAAACCATAATTCTTTTTTATTCATATCACCTGAAGATAACAGACTGTTGATCATCTCAAGGAATGTGGAATGGACAAATTGATAGTCCTCCAACAGCAATACTACCTGCTGTGCCTCAATGCCAGCGAGCTCCATCACCTAATAAAAGGGAAATCATTTTAATATAGTTGCATGAAATATAAAATAGAACTATAAGCCTTTGATAATTTATTTACACACACACCAATGTAGGTGTACATACACACACACACACACTCAATGTTTTCCATAGATCATCAATTTTTACACTTATGGATTCTCAACAGATGATCAGATAATATGAACGATAAGGAATATTCTACCTGGAAGCACAGATTTCTAATTAGAAACCAGTAAAGATAAATAATGCATTTATTAACATACTACATGCAAATTTTCCCACCCCAAATTAGCCATTCAAAATGGAGTGCCTGTATTAAATGAGAAAATTAAATTCCACAGAGCAATGGAGGTAGGAGCACTGGAGCTGAAGCAGGGTACTGTCCTTGGCCCCAGCTCATGCAGAGCTCACCACTCTATGCACAGAATGTATGGACATTGTCTTCTCATCAGTGTCACTTGCTCTTCCCCTGCTGCAGGGCCAACTGTCACAGGTTTAACCCTTCACAGCTGCAACAGAATTAAGACTTTGAGAGAGTTAGCAGTGGCTGTGAAAGGCTTAAACCGGAAGCTGCTGGCAGAGAAGCAGGGGGATGGGACTCTGCTCTGCTTCATGTAGCCAGAGCATTCAGTCCTGGATGAGCTGGTACCAAAGCAGGTAAGACTAGAAAAATCATTTTTTCTTCTTTCTGACTTCCCATTACAAGATGCATGTCTTATTTGAGACTTGGAATATGCAAATAGATGTGTTATATTCTGACCCACATAACCTTAAAAGACAAAAAGTTCCAAGTGTTACCTTTAACTGCATTCAAAGACTGATGCAGTTATGTTCATCTTTGCATGCATGAATAATGGAGTTTTCTTATAAAACATTTTGGGAATTCTGACTCCCCAAATCTGGTTTATTTTAATATAACATACGTGTCTTCATAAATCACTGACCTTTTACTTGATAAAACATTTTGATTTTGTATTGTACTCTGTAGCGAGGTTTGGGTTCCAGGGGCAGCCATAACACCCCCCCTGGTTACCACACAACTCTTGCCCTACTCCAGCCTTCCCCTTCTCACTCATCTGCCACATCTTGATGTATTTGTTTAATCAAATGGGAGGCTGCTTAAGGGTACCAGAGCCCCTGTCCTTCTGGCCACCAGCAGGCCTCTCCCAGACCCTGCTGGTCTCAGTCCTGCCCCACTCAGGCTAAGTTGGTCTTCCAAATCCGCTCATGCCCTCCCCCACAGGGCACCTGTAGCCTTAAGGGCTATTCACGGCCTCTGACCTCTCCTACAGCTGTTCCCATGCATCACAGGTATTACTGTACCATCACTCCCTTGTCTGGACCCTGGTCACCTTGATCTCCACCCATTTTCTCTAGCTGGGACTTCTAGTGCTGGGCTTTTCTTTTGGGTTCCAGCTCTTGTCTTGATACTTGGTACTGGGTTTCCTGGCCCTGTCTCCACCCTGCTATGGGCTCTAAGCCTGCTTTGACCCTACCTGGGCCCCCTGCCCTGGTCTATGTCCTGAGTCTCTAGCCCCTGGCTGGGCTCAAGACACTCTCATGCCCTCAGGCACTACTGAGACATCCATATCACCCCTGATAGTCCCAAACTCAAACTGCCAGCATAAATTGCAACAAAGGAACAAGCCCACTGGCTGTAACACAAACTAAACCCACGCCAGGTGCAAACATCAACATAGCTTACTGCCTGTATGTAGCAAGGCTTCCCCTTACCCTGGCTGGTATCCTTGTGTGAGCCTTCAACATCTTGCTGCCAGGCCCTAGGCAGCAAAGAATTCAGCTGGGAATCCTCCTGCAGTCTTCCTGACCAAGAGCTCCTTTCTCTGTGGCTTGCAGGGCCAGACTGCCTGAGCTGGCTCCAGCTCTGGGCTCATAAACTGCCTAAGCCCTGCCTCTTCCAGTCAGGTGGCACCCCAGCCAGCCACAGGAGTTTCTCCTTAAGGCCTAAGGGTGTGTTTCCATGTCAGTATGCAACTGCTGCTATAGCAGCACCCCTGCTGCCCAAGTTAGGCTCTGCCCTGCTGTCTTACTGTCTAGTAGCTAGCTTTGCAACAGGCAGTCCTATACAGAGTTTTCCTTTCCAGGCTGCAGATGCACCTGTTTTACTCTGAGTCGCTGCCTGCCTTGGCAGCAGTATTTCTCCACTGCCTTCCTTCTTGTAACTGGCCTATATTATGCTGCCTGGGCACTATCTGATGCAGTTTTTCTCCTTAAAGTAACAGGAGCCCCAGGCTCCCTGTTACACACACATGCCCTTACTACAAGCAGGATATATTCACAAATGAAAAAAACGACTGGATTTTAAAAAATATTTTAGAAGAAGCTTTGAAATCTTCAAATGTTATCAATTCAGATCCTACAGTTTGTCTTATACTAGCAGATCCCTGCACCCACACAGAGCTCAAGGAATTTAGGAAGACTCCATGTTTGAGCATGGGTCCACCCACATAGAAAAACCTTGTAGCACCTAGACCCAAGAGTATAAACTCTTCCAGGAAAGGGTAATCTATTTATAAATATTTATAGTACACCTAGGACGCTGAGGCATGGGTTCTGATAATAAATGTAATCAACTGTCATTTATAAAATTTACAGGGATAGATTTTATAAAGTGCTCAGCACCTACCATTAGGGACACAGTGTCAGAGAAGTCTAGCACCAAGCAGTCTTATTGAGAACAATAGGAGCTTCTGAGACTTCTGACCTATATGAGAGAATTCTATTTTGTGTCTTTCAAAATTCCCTTGACCAATTCTGTCAAGACAAATTCAATTTAAATACATTGTAAAATAAAAGAATGTGAGTGACATACATGTTTAAGATCATTTTTAAGTTGTTTCACTTCATAACCTCTGGAAATCTTTGGAGTAATCAGAACCGCTCCATGCATGTGACTGACTAATGAGGTAGCAGTCCGACGACCCACACCGCTTCGTCCTGCTAAAAGAAGTGATCCTCCAGGAAAGCTCAGTACTCTGTCAATCCTAGACATATATTCAAGGACTTCTGAGAAAAGTAAAATCTCTATCTCCTTGTTATCTCGTCCATAATGAATGATTCCCTACATAAAAATGAGAGAACAAATATTTTTGGGAATAATAAATATAAATACTAAATTAATGAGGTACATAATAATACATGTAAGTGAATAATAATTGCAGGACATGACAACATTCAACATTTTACAAAGAAATAAAGGGTCTGAAAATGATAAAGAACATCAATTATACTGCTAAAACTATTCTATTAATACAGTCAAATTCTGTTACCTTTATGGCCCTGCTTGCTGTTCTAGACAGATTTCAGGCCTTAAATAAAGAAATCACTAGGACTAAGGGTTACAGCCTTAACTGAGGCCTAGCCTGAAATAACCCTTCTACACTAACATCCATTTTAAGAAAAGCAAAACAAAAACAAAAACAAAAAAGAATACCAATATATAAATTAAAACTATGTAGTAGGCCAAAGCCTGAGAACTAATCAAATTGTGCTCCAACATACCTATGATCGGACTAAGCTTATTCCTGTCTTAACTTAGCTTTTACACTGTTGTACATATTCCAGCTATAGTTCTTTCCTCAGTAGCCCAATCTAACCTCAGACCTTAGGGCTATATCCCGGTCCTATTTCCCTCACAGAAGCAAGATAACCATGACACTGAAAATGACTGCAATTAGGGAGCACTATACCACCTGAAGAAGAAACTCCAGAGCTCTGATGCTACCAGACCACATGTGCATATATTTCCCTTGGGCCCTATATATAGGCAGAGGAGGTGAGAAAGATCCAACCGAGTGTGGATTAATATGAGTTTTCAACCCATAAAAGTAGTTCTCCAGGTCTTCCACTGGAACAGGCACTGAACCCATCAATATTACTTTCCAGTTTGGGGTGACTGCCCTCAAAAATCAGTCAGGCCAATGCAAAGCCAGGACTTTTGCATTTACCTTCCAGCTTCAGGATTTGACTTTAATTGCTTAACAAGAAGCTGATTTCTGCTTCTAAATTACCTGTCTGTACCTCTTAGAATGCAAACTGCATATGCTTTTCTAACCAAAAGAAAATGAATGGCAATAAAACTGGTTATTTCAAACAATTTACAAATGTAACAGTAGATTTTTAAAAGTCCATTCTTCAGTACTTATTCATTACTATTAGCACACCTTTTTTATAACATTTTTTAGGTCTGCTGAGTTTAGTCTGCCAAGTGGCCTTCCATGTGGAGGTAATGTTGTCCCTGGTGCTATGAATGCCTCAGAGCTAGCTCCCCAAGTTACATAGAAGATATCTGTGAAAATAAAAACAAAACCATAAAGAGTCTGCATCCTCCAATGGTAAATAACATTCCTGTCAAGTCCTGCAACAATTCTTATCAATTGTTTTACCTGTCATATTGTGCAGGATATCTGAGCCCCAATCTCCTTGAAATACTTTCATCAAAATATTATCAAACACATGGAGTTCTTTTGCACCAACAATTTTGTCACAGAAGAGGCGACAGGCTTCATAAGCAACTATTTCCAATACATAATCTATTGTATACGTTGATGACCCTACAAAATGTATATATAATGTTTGAAACTGTTATACTTTAATAATAAATTGCCAACTTTTCAAAATACATGAAGTCTAAAAAACAGTAATACAATTAAAATACATACCGGAATATTGGATACCAGCACGAATGCATCAAAAAATGGTAAAAGAAAAACCAAATATTATAAAGCATTTTTAAAGTCACACTTCATGCATGCATACATACAAAATACAATGTTATAAATTCAAAAGCAAGTTTTCTAACAAAAGTGCATTACCAATATATAATTCAATGTCAGCTATGTAACCTGAATGTTCAAGGTGCTGTACATAAAATAAAAACAAAATCATGAAATACACTACCTTCTTAAAACAGAAGACTATAAAAAGCCAGGGACCCAGTTTTAAAAGAGAAAGAGAAGGGCTGGTAAATAAGTAACAAATTCAAAAGCAGGTGGTGTTTGTTCTCAAACACTATTGAGGAAAACTAAACTGTAATACAGTATAACTTCATAAATCCAGCATGCTCAGGACCAAGCGCCTGCAGGAAAATTCCAGATTTTTTAAACTGGAGTGGCAGCTGGTCCCAGAGCAGTGGTAGCACGTGGAGCAGCAGTGCAGAGTGGTTGATGGCACTGGCAGCTGCCACATGCAAGCTTCCCCCTCCGCTGCTCTGGGACCGGCTGCTGCTACTCCCTGATCTGCTGGATTTTTGAGAATTCCAGACTTTTGCTATCCGGATATATGAGGTTACACTGTATGTTTCTTAAAACTTGAGAAGGAGCAAGGAGTTCCACTGATTCAACTTGGTGGAAATGAACTGCATACCCCATTTTTCATCATATGAAAAGCACTATAATTTTCTACCTTTATATGCAAACCTGGGATTTCTCAAACAGGACAGGATCACCACTTAGATTTAGTCAGTGTAGCTTTGCTGACTTCAATAGATAAATAATACTTAACACCTGACAAGGATCCAATGCAACAAATAGTGTGTGGACATATATGCTCATCAATTCAGTTCTCCCTGAAAATATCTTGTGTCACCATTTACACTAGTGTAAACATTAGTGTAGAACAAGTACAATATGACCATGATAAGATTATTCATAGCTCAGAACAATAACAACTCAAAAGGAAGGACAACATTCAGACTGGAAACCAGCTTAAGTTCTGAGTTTCCACATAACACCGAATGTTTCACCTCATAGGATGAAGAAAGGAGAAGTTTAAGGCTGTGTTTTAACCAGAAAGCACTTCAACATCATGAAAAGGCTTCCCACAAGGCAGGTAAGCTCTACACATTTAAAAATGGTAACATCATCCTCCTGTTTAACAGGCAAAAGGTGATGATTGTAAGTAGTGGTTTCACTACCTCACCAACATTACCAATACAGATACAGCAGCATGCTTCTGTGAATCCAGACAAGAGATAGCCTTAAACAAAACCAGATTATTTGCTGATAGCAGAGGCCACATAATCAAAATGACTGGAAGGAGCAGCCCAGACTCATTCATATATAAACTAATGATAGCTCCCCCCTGCATTTTAAAAATACCACTTTTTTGCAAAATTAGAAACAAAAAAAATTTTCCTGGAAGAGAATTTTTTATACAATTCACTTTTGTATTTCAGCTGACAGTAAACCCAATCCTACTCCTTTTCCAAGTACAGAATTCCAGTGGCTTCAAATGCTAGTTCAGCATGTTGACAATTTGCAAGATCAAGTCAATGGTAAGACCTTATAAAAATGTAGACATTTTAAAAATGTTTCATCATTTGGAACAGAAAAAGGTGACTCACCTCCTGCTAAATCATATCTGAATAAACCAAGAACCCACTGAGTGAGAATGCATGGTGTGAAAAGGTAATGACTGTGATCATCAACTGTAAATTTTGCTCGGACCTGAAAACATAAGTTATTTAAATGTAAGTGACATTTAACTGTAACTATTTAACAGAAAATTTAATTAAAATTTAATAAGAGCATCCTGCCAGGGCCTGGTCACCCCCCCCTCAGCTCAGTGCTGTTGGAAGGGAAGGGAGGGCTGCTCTAGTGCTGCCTGGCTTCTAGTCTGAGCCACAGCAGGCATGTGCTGAATTTTTTCAGTCCAGAGGGGATGTCTGTATGGTTATAAACTGGTTACGCCTAGCCAGGTTAGACTAACCTGGAAAGATTGAATCAATTCAGGATCAGGCTTTTTGAAAGTCTGTCCCCAGCCTAGAAGAATTTCTCTAAATTCTCTTGCATAAGCCAAAAGAATGGAAGGTCTATGCAAAATCAGGAGTAAATGCCAAAAATATTTGACATACATGGTGTCAGAAACATTCTTCAGACAGATAACATATGTAACCCTGTTTTATGTTCTACACTTCCAGCTATGGTTACATACTGCAATGGTAACTTTGTGTGTTCTTTAGCTGCATACCTTCATTATTAAGCATACACAGAAGTTTGGGGCTACTCATGCCTGTTGTCACTGTTTGTTGTAGGCCTAACGTGCATTTGTAAAGGGTGGATCAGATTTTGGGTCCACCAGCTCACCCCTCAAAAACTGTAAAGCTCATAGACACACAAGTGTTGTTAATGCAAAATTACATAAAGGTAACTGGAAGGTCAGCATTCACTGAGAGCTGTGCAGAGATCTACAATGGAAAGTTCTCTGTTTTAGTGCAAACACCATGTGTAAGGAACAGGAGAAATATTGAACAGGATATCCTGTAGATGACCTTATAGCACATCAACTCCCCAAAGTGTTTGTGAACACAAAATCCTATGGTAGGTTCAGGCAGAAACCTGATATTCACTATAGCTAAAAATGCTAAAAATCCCTGAGCCTGTTCTTGAACTAAGACAGAGTCTGAAAGAGCTGGGGTTGCATAGGTGACCTGAAGAGGACCAGCAGAGGAGTGGTGGTGACTCCTGGAGATAACAAAAGAGCAGCAGTGACCCCTGTTAGTGGCGCAAGAGTAGTGGTAACCCCTGAAGGCACCAGTCAGACCTGTGCTCCCTAGTGACCAAAATAGTGATGCCCAGCAGTGCACCTTACCAGTGTTTCTCAGCACCAGTGGTAGCAATTCTAGCAAGGGCCTCCCTACCCAGGACTTGATACTTGGCTGGCACAGGTGGTAAAGTCCCCAGAACAGAGAGGCAGACCCTAGCAGCAAGGAGATACAGGGTCCTCCTGGGTGGGCCTCCCTACCTTGGACCTAAAAGCCCAAAAGAAACTAGTGGTAGCCAAAAGGAAAAGTTCAACACAGAGGTGTGTATATGCCCACACCTGTCAGGAGGTTAGGCACCTGACTCAGGCTACATATTAAGCATCTCCATTCACTTACCATGAAGAATCCCAATTCCTGATTCTGAGGCAGATGCCTATATTGGGAATGCCATCTTTTTCATAGTATCCTAGTAGTTAAAGCACTTGCCCAGAAAGTGGGAGATCTAGATTACACGCCCCACTCAACCTCAGGCCATTCAAACTGATTTATTCCACTTCTCAGAAAGATGTTCTAATCCCTAGTCTACACAATAGTTTGGGAAACACGTTTTACTCCTCCTGTTGAAGAGGAAGACCTGGTTTCCAGGCTTAGTTCTGTTTTTAAACAATTACTTTCTAATATAAATACATAAGAAGTCCTAAGAACAGGGACCAAAAAACAGGTGTTACTACTCCCAGCTAAATTCCTTAAGTAGGCAACAGAAGCATGTTTCCTCCTCATTGTCTCCTGCTGGCCCCAGGACTTTTACCACTGCATCCTCCAGGCTCCAATGTCTGTGACCTCATTAATGTGTGTATGAGTTTAATTTTAGATCTATATAAACTATTTTGCATTTAGATATTAATAGTGGTCAAACCTTCTCATTATCTACCATTATATGTAAAGATAAAGAGTAAAAGACATTGTTGCTTCTGGATTTTTTAACTGCCAAAAAATATATCAAATTACTATACCTGTTCATATACTTGAACCATAGACCCTGCTAGCTGATGTATTTTTGGTAAGGAACCCCAAATGGAGTGATTTTTTAGATTTTTGTGTAGCACAGGTTCTAAATATCCGCTATAGATTGTTTGCAGTTGGTCTCTCTCCGGATAGCTACAAGCAAAAAGAAGAGTCAAAGGAAAGTATGATTATCATCATTTTTAATGTCTGTAATAAATGAAGTTTTGGATTCATATCTATTATTTACTATAAACCTTACATTCAGCTAACTAAACTGTAATTTGGTTTTATTTGGATGCTCAGAAACTTTACAGGTATATTGTTAAATATGGTCAAACTTATAAACCCACCAAAAGGCACTTTAAAATAAGGCTGTAAAGATATAATTTACTGTAATCAAAGTAATTCAAAATTAATTTATTTCAAATACTTAAATACAAAGAAGGCAACAATGTAGGTAGATATTATTCCTCTACTGCTATAAAATAGTGAGAGGCAGTAAAAGTAGATTCCAAATCTATAGATTCTACATTACTAGAGGTCAGAGGCTAGATTATACAAAGCAGAATTACAGTCCACGTTTTCAGTTCACATTTTCAGGAGAGTCAAGCAGAGACACTGTCTGCAAACTAGCATAAGATATCAAATCAGGGTTAAGTTCTTGCACACACTTACTCAATTGCACAAAGACGAACAATAGATGTAAATCTGGATGTAAGTTTATGCCTTCCTAATGTTCCCCCAGCAGACATGGAAGCCACAATCTGGATGTTTTCTAAACCAACCCATTCAAGATTTTCATCATAAAATCCCTGGTATGTCAAAACCTTTGATGATAAAATAAATATTTTAATAAAACTAGATGAACAGAAGACAGATTAAAGTCAAGTCTCCAATTACTACTGTTTATTTGTTAATCATCAACAATGTGCTCAGCACTAACATTTTCCTCCATGACAGTCTCTAAAATTTTTATTCTTAAGCAACTATGCAGCACTTTAAGCAAAAAGATGTACAGCAATGTAAAATCTCAGACTAGACCACATTCTCTATAGCCCAGCAGCACAACTGACTGACAATTCCCTCTGGAGTAAAGCAGCTCTCAGAAAAGTTGGATCCTTCTCTGACTGTTCTAACCCAACCACAGTAAGGGGGTGTGTCAAGGTAAAGAAAGTTTCACTCTGCCAATTTTCAGCTTCTGAGTGGTCACTGAGATACTGTGAGTATCTGTTGTAACTTAAGGCAACCCTTAGGCCGGCCATGGTTTCTGTCCCAAGTCAGCTTGAAGTCTAATTGGATTTACATTTAAATAAAACAGAGCATATGGTAAAACTACTGTTAAAAAAATCAATACATAAAAAGAAGTTGGTGGATGTGGAAAGAAACAGTTTTTAAAATGAATTTGGAAAAGTCAAAAGGGTGCAAGATGTGCATGGTAGGTTCTAAAAACTGGGGGAAAAGGACATTTAAAAATATTTCAAGTGTTACATCTCACATTTGCAGTCTACACTGGTAAGAAAATTCATGTGTCATAAATCACTGCTCAGTGTAAACTTAGACTGTAACCTCTTTTGGAAAGGGACAGCCTTTATTACATATATGTAAAGTACATAGCACAAACAGGACCCTGACTCCGGTTGAGGTCTCTATGTTCTACCACACCATAAATGAAATAAAGAAGTATTAACTATCAAAATAACCAACATATTGTCAGATGCTTAAACTTTAAACTCTCTGCCTGTATATTAAATTATTTGAAGTAGGTCTCTACTATACATTTAATGAATCATAATAAATCATTTCTTGTCTACAATCTTCTATGCATAACTATAATTTTGCTGAAAGCCATATATATTCACCTGTTGCAGGAAAGATACAAGAGTACTAGTTCCCCATTTATCAGGCTTGGGCAGGTTGATATCCTTTAGGTACAAAACCAGCCTTTCACAGTCTTTTGGTCTGTATACACGACCGGTATTTGTACTGATTACCATGCAAGTCTGACTTAGTTTCTGCAGGAGATGTTGAGAGGTAGTTTGTGCACTGCAGTGAACCGTAGCAATCTGGGTGGACCGGAGTTGAGAAAAGGCATAACGAAGTAGCATTCTACCAAAATAAAAGGTATAAATATATGGATTTTACATGCAAAGAATTTTTAAATTGTCAGCAATCTATCTTTAAAGTACTGTATGTGTCAGCTTTCATGAACTATTTTTACTTTAAAAATAAAATGTGTGTCATGTTGTATTTATAAAATACTAGAAAAGTAAGTGAGCAGCTCTGTATGAGAAATATCTTATTAGTGTTCAGATTAGTCTGAAAAATTGTGCAGTGGCCCCAATTTACAACATGAGGGCAGACCAAAAAGCTTCGCAGAAACTCAATCTATTCATGCATTAGAAATTGAAGGATCAGTTTACATTCAAGGATAAAGAGAAAACGGAAAAGGTTAATATTGAGAGCAAGAGAGAAAGCTGTGTATAGATACATATTTAGGAATCATATTTATGATTTACTCAGAGCCACAGAAAAATAAGATTTATACTTATTACCAGGGATCCAGGCTGTCCATTTGCTGTGGAAAAAATATGGATTTTCTCCTTTAAAGGAGAGTGGGAAGAGGGCGATCAGAGGCAGGGGGCACCACACATGTGGCCGGCAATACAACCCCAGGTAGTAAGGTGAAAAGCAACTCCCGCAGCCTCCTGCAGGTAAATCTATGGTGAAGGGGAGAGCAGAAACAATGCAGGGGAGGGGCAGGGATGGCATAACTTGTGGAGAGATTGAGGCAGCAGCTTGTGCTGAGCCTAAGTGGTGAGGGAAGGAGTGGGACAGGGTTGGCGGCTGGGGCTGGGGGCGCTGTCTAGCCAGTGTTGGGTACGCTGCTTGGGGCTGGGGCCGGGAAGCCGGGGGGGGGGCAGGAAGGCAGGGCCACAGGGCCCAGCTGGGGAGTGGGATGGAGCCACAGGTGGCTCATCCAGGGGTGGGGGATGGCTCTCCACTGCTGCGCACACTCCTGGGGAGGGGTCAGCTGCCAAAAGCAACACATCAGTGGGAGGAAATGTGTCCAGAGTGGGGTACTGGGCTACAACCTGGCAAGACTGGCACTGGAGAGTCAGGGTACACAAGCCACCCCCACTGCAGCTGCAGGCAGGGGGCAGCTCATGTTGGTAGCCATGGCAAATGGCTGGTGCAGGGCTTGCAGCAGAAACAGCAGCGACAGCAACAGTCTCACCATCCTGCTTTGCCCTCTTGCGCTGGGTCCTGCCCACTAGGCCATGGAGGCAGCTCCTGGCCATTGCTAGTCCAGCCAGGCTATAGCTCTGTGCCCCACTGTGGGTGAAGAAAAATGGGGGCACATGCCTCTCATGCCCCCCAACATGTCACCTATGGCATTGCCTATGATCAGGTATCCCCCACCACACACCCCTGTGCCTACACACACCCTTACCCACCCTACACACTGTGGGGATGGTGCCTGGGGCAGCGGGCCAGGAGTGAGGAGCAGGGCTGCAGGGGGTGGGGGGCTGTGGGTCAGGAATGAGGGACACCAGCAGGGCCAGAGAGCTGCAGGTCAGGAGTGTGAGGCACTGACAGGGCTGGGGGTGAGCTGTGGCTTGGGAGTGAGGGGCACTGTCGTATCAGGGCTGCTCAGCACCACAAAGCAGTGGGAAGGATAGCAGCAGCTGGACCTGACTCCTGATGAGTGAAGGGGACAGAGGGAGCTCTGATTTTCCATAATAAAAACAAAATCAAACCCCAAAATATACAGGCATTTAGAATTTATTTTGTTATAATGATTGAGACACTGGTAGGCTTCCAAAATGGTTTCAAATTATAAATATGTTAAAAAAATTATGTTCAACTGATAGAGAGATAGATAGATAGAGGTATTTCACTTTAAATTGCAGAAAGAAACCAGATTTGGGGGGTTTTAATAAGAGGATTGTGGACTTTTTAATCAGAGAATTTTGGATTTTTTAACAGGGAAAACCAAAAGTGCTTTTTGTGCTAAAATTTTCTAGAACTTTGTCACAAACTTACAAAAGGTAATTTAAAAAGAAAGAAAAATTCTTACCCCTTTCCGCAACCTTCAGGACCAACAAGAAGAAATGGCTGCTTATTGTCAAAGTTTAGCCAGGGTCTAAAGTAATCTAAACTTCTCTGCATGTCAGGGGTTTGAATAACAGGAAGCGTTTGGAGATTACTGAAGTCATCAGCAATCAAATTTTCAGGTTTTTTCAGCTGATATGTCATTAAGTGTCCAGTGTCAGGGTCATAATATGTGTCTAGTGGTTTCCTGGGATCTGGAGGAGATTCTCGTGCCCAATTAAAAATCTTCAAACAAAAAAAAGGTAAATATATTACTATCTGTTTAGCCATCTGTTAAAATCTGCATCCCTAATAACAATATAAGGTTTATAATTACATTATATAAAAGGTGGTATGAGTTTTCAAAAGCAAGTATTCAAAAGGTAGGAAATGCAAAAATTGCCTTTACAACCTTAATTTAATACCATTGTGTTGTATGCCTTGATGTACATACACACATGATGCAGCCTTTAGTGAAGTGGTAATATGTTATGTTTCCACAACATAAAGGACATAAAGGACGCACAGTGGCCTTTTTGCAAATATTCATACATTTGACAAATTTTACTAATACTAGATTCTATGATAAAACAAACAAATAATAAAAATCCCATTAATAAGGCTCTTCATTTATATACATCACTGGCTGTCCCAAAAACCTGTCTTCCATTCTCTGTTCCCAAACACTTTCTTATTCTTCAAGTCCTGTAACTGCAAATGTGTTAAAGACACATTTCCAACTCCATCCTCGCACAATTCCCAAAATCACGCCTTCAGAGTCTCATCTGATGAACTGTATTTTCTCCCTATTGTGTCTCCCCTGTCTCCCTACCATATGCCATATACACCAAGGCTATCAACTATCATATCTGCTTTTGTGGATTTGACTAACCATCCATCACACAAATCCACCTCTCATTGTTGATCTCTCTCTTGTCAATCCCATGTTAGGCTGTAAACACACTGGAGCATTGGAATTTTATTTATGTACTCTTGGATCACAGCAAACACTATGCTCCTTTATATAACAATTTGGCTGTTTAGAAATAACTGATTTTAAAACATTCTTACCTCTTTTGTAAATTCCTGCCGTGATTTCATGTTGAGATTTCCACCAAGGCCCCTCATCAAGCTAATTATAAATTGTCCACGATCAGTGCATCCATGGAGATGAGACAACCCATTCATCACCGTTCCAACTAGACTGGTTTCTACCACATAGTCATTCTGTAAATTCAAATTTTCAGTAAAAAAAACTAAAAAAAAAAAACCAACAGCAGAATAAACAACATATTGCAGGTTAGGAATTGCTTTGAACGTCTGTATGGATATATATTCCTATCCTCGCATGGATTCCGGGTGACTCGGGCTTACAGAGCAGGCTTCTCTCTCTCATAGCACGTGTCGAAAGCAAACTTTTCTAAAGAAAAGCTTGCAGAGATTTTTGTCCCCTTATTATTATTAAACAATCTGTAATGCTATTGTTTTATTTCCCCAACCTAACAGCAGCTTTTCTTAAAGATTTTGTCCAAAATTTTAAATCTGCAGGCTTTAAAATTAGGCGTCTAAGCCCATGTTTAGTCAATAGGAACTGAGACGAACTATTAACTCTGAAAAAGCAGTTAATTTATTCAGGTATTTATATATCAACTTATTGTAGGTTCTTGATTTTATAAAAAAATTGGCAATGACTATTTCAAGTTTCAGTTTAATCCGTTTTCCTCTGTAGCCTGTTAATATTGATTTACAAAACAGGAAAGTAATCTTTTTTTCACTGTATCAGTATTTTAAAAAGCTTAACTTAATTTGCTCAGATCTTCAAAAATATACAGCTAGATATTGAACACAGATAACTGAAATCTGAAATATATCTGTTTAATACCATAAGAATGTGAAAATACAATATTATAACTGTGTTAAGTATTTTGTAACCTTAATTACAGTGATGGCTATTAGAGACTGCAGTAACGTATAACAGAAGGAACACTTCAGAAGTCAGGAGAATTCTCAAGTTTATTTAATACTGAGTAAATAGAAACATGTCAATAAAGCAGTGTGAATTTTTATCTTTAGAACCTAAAGTTATCAGGAAAATTATTCCATATTAACATAGCAACTACCTAAATGGATTATTGAAATAAAAACTGAACAGTTATTAAGATTTTGTGAGTTATTCACCTGTTTTAGAACCCAGTTTAAAGCCTTTTCAAAATAGTCCCCGATCCAGTTTTCAAGATTATGTCTGCATTCTTCAGGCTGGTTTCTTAACCAAGACTTCAAGAGAGAATGAAGATCTGTATCTTCATCGCTAGAACAAAACGTATTGAAAATTAAAACAAAAATAGGAGAATCACAGGCTCTACATTTGGATGCAGCATGGCCTAGGGCTGAAAAGGCATGACTAAATCAAGTTTTGCTTCTAGTCTCAGGTCCCCCAGTGCTTTACGTGGGACCTTAAGTCACCTAACTTTTTGCAAATTTAAAACTGCTGGAAGACATTAAGGCAATCCGGTGATAGGGGATAATGGAATTCAATGCCCTGCCCCCAAAATTATGCAACCTATCGAGACAGACGTCAGGTGGCTTTTACTTCTCCGAACTTCTAGAATGTTTGCAGGCAGATTCAATTTCACTTCAGGGCAAAACAGAACCCCCAAACTCAGAGTTAAGTCCCAAAACCTGCAGTTACACACATGCATGGCATGCTACTTAGGTCTATAAATAGGACTCCGCCCCTAACAATCAGTGGCAGCAAAAAGGCTATGGAAAAGTTGGGTTACAGGATAACAGATGAAATATTTGATTTCAAAGATACAAAGCCAAATTCAGGTGAAATCTATAACTTTCTCTGCCCAAAACAAATGACAGGTTTCAGAAGTTAGCATTACAATGAAGTTGCCAGTTACATGATTAGCACAGGATCAGGAAAGCTGACTTTGACATGCTAAGGAGGCTTGTCAGTGAGGCCCTAAAGGGCCACAACCAAAGGGGGAGGGGAGTTCAGGATGAGTGGTTGCTCCTCAAGGGAGCAATCCTGGATGCGCAAGCGAAGTCCATCCTGTCTCGGAGGAAAGGCAGCAAAAGGGCACAGCAGCCCCCTTGGCTCTCCAGGGAACTGGCGGACCATCTGAGTCTTAAAAGGAAGACCTACAAAGGATGAAAGACTGGAACCACCACCAAGGAGGAATACTCCGCTCTGGTCCGGACCTGCAGAGAGCAAACCAGGAAAGCCAAGGCTGCGATGGAACTCCAGCTAGCTACAAATATTAAGGATAATAAAAAGTCCTTTTTTAGATATGTGGGGGGCCAGAGGAAAAGCAAGGGCAACATTGGACCCCTGCTAAACCAGATGGGACAACTGACAACCGATGCCCATGAAAAAGCAAACTTGCTAAATGGGTACTTTGCATCAGTTTTTCATCAGTCCCATGGGACGCCCCTGCCCATTGTGGGTCAGGGAGGCCCAAGTGAGGGAGATTTCTTGCCCTCCATTGAAGCTGACCTTGTGAAGGAACACCCTGACAGGCTGGATACCTTCAAGTCAGCCGGCCCTGATGGTTTACACCCAAGGGTACTCAAGGAGCTGTCTAGCATCATAGCTCAGCCCCTGGCATGGATCTTTGAGAATTCTTCGTGCTCTGGTGAAGTGCCCGAAGATTGGAAGGAGGCTAATGTCATGCCACTCTTCAGGAAAGGGAGGAAAGTAGATCTGGCAAACTACAGGCCCATCAGCCTGACCTGTATCCTGGGGAAGGTCTAAGGAAAAGATTATCAAAGAGGCCATCCTTAACAGGATAGCTGACAGCAATATCCTGAGGGATAGTCAGCACGGGTTTGTTGCGGGTAGGTCTTGCTTGACCAATCTTATTTCCTTTTATGACCAGGTGACCTATCACCTGGACAAGGGGGAAGAGATTGATGTCGTATATCTTGAATTTAATAAAGCCTTCGATCTGGTATCCCATGATCACCTCTTAGCAAAACTGGCCAACTGCGGCCTCGACCTCACCATGATCCGCTGGCTGGGGAATTGGCACCATGCTAGGACCCAGAGGGTGGTGGTTGACGGAAG